GTTTATTCCTAGGTATCTTATGGTTTTTGGTGCAATTATAAATCAGACTGATTCCTTGATACCTCTTTCTGCTGCTTCCTTATTGGTGTATAGAAATGCAACTGATTTCTGTACATTAATTTTATATCCTGTAGCTGATGAATTCATGTATCAGCAGTTTTTTGGTGGAGTCCTTCGAGTTTTCCATGTCATTTGCAAAGAGTGAAAGTTTGACTTTTTCCTTGCCAATTTGGTTGTATTATATTTCTTTTTGTTTGACTGCTGAGGCTAGGACATCCAGTTCTATGTTGAACAACAGTGGTGAGAGTGGACATCCCTGCCATATACCTGACCTTAGGGGAAAAACTCTGTTTTTCCTCACTGAGGATGATTTTAGCTGTGGGCCTTTCATATATGGCTTTTGTGATGTTGAGGTATATTCCTTCTATCCATATTTTCTTGAAGGTTTTTATCAAGAAAGGATGCTGTATTTTGCCAAATGCTTTTCCTCCATCATATTGACAGAATCATATGGTTCTTATCCTTTCTTTCATTAATGTGGTGTATAACATTGATTGATTTGCAAATATTGAACCATCCCTGAGACCAGGAATAAATCCCACTTGATCATGGTGAATAATTCTTCTACTGTTCTGTTGCATTCAATTTGCTAGTATCTTGTTGAGAATTTTTTTTCATCCTGGTTCGTCAGGGATATTGGCCTGTAATTCTCCTTTCTGGTGGGACCTTTGTCCAGTTTTTGAATCAAGTTAATGCTGGCTTCATACAATGAGTGTGGAAACTTTCCTTCCATTTCTATTTTTTGGAACAGTTTGATGAGAATAGATATTAAGTCTTCTTTAAATATCTGGCAGAATTCCCCTGGGAAGCCATCTGGCCTAAGACTCTTATTTGTTGGGAGATTTTTGATAACTGATTAATTTCTTTGCTGGTTATGAGCCTGTTCAAATTTTCTGTTTCTTCCTGTTCGAGTTTTGGTAGTGTGTGATTTTCTAATAATTTGTCATTTTTTCCAGATTGTCCAGTTAGTTTGCATATAATTTTTCATCATATTCTCTTATAATTGTTTGTGTTTCTGTGGTGTTGGTTGTGATCTATCCTCTTTCATTCATGATTTTATCTATTTGCATCCTCTCATTTTTTTCTTTTTGAGAAGTCTGGCTAGAACATTATCAATTTTGTTTATTCTTTCAAAAAACCAACTTTTAGTTTCATTGATTTTTTTCTACCAGGTTGTTTTTTTGTTTGTTTTTATAGTTTATTTATGCTCTCATCTTTAATATTTCCTTTCTTCTGCTGGTTTTGCCTTTATTTGTTGCTCCTTTTCTAGCTCCTTTAGTTGCAAGGTGAGGTTGTGTATATAGGACCTTCCTTGCTTCTTGAGATAGGTCTGAATTGCAATGTAGTTTCCTCTTAGGACTTCCATTGCTGCATTCCAGAGTGTTTGGACTATCTTGTTTTATCTTCATTTGCTTCCATGTTTTTTTTTACTTCTTCTTTAATTTCCTGGTGAAACCATTCATTCTTTAGTAGCATATTCATTAACTTCCATGTCTGTGAGGGCTTTCCAAATTTTTTCTTGTGGTTGATTTCAAGTTTCATAGTATTGTGATCTGAAAATATGCATGGTATGATCTCAATCCTTGTGTACCTGTTGAGGGATGATTTGTGACCCAGTATGTGATTTATTCTGGGGAATGTTCCATGTGCATTGCACTCAAGAAGAATGTGTATTTTGCTGCTTTAGGATGAAATGTTCTGAATATATCAGTTAAGTCCATCTGTCCAGTGTGTCATTCAAAGCCTTTGTTTCCTTGTTGATTTTATGCTTAGATGATATGTTCATTGCTGTAAGTAAGGCAGTAAAGTCTCCTACTATTGTGGTATTATTATCAATTTTCTTTATGTTTATGATTAATTGGTATATATATTTGAGTGCTTTCAAAATGGGGGCATAAATATTTACAATTATTAGATCTTGATGGATACACCCCTTAAAAATGATATAATGCCCTTCTTCATCTCTTATTATAGTCTTTGTTTTAAAAAAAAGTTTCTCCCAGGGGCGCCTGGGTGGTTCAGTTGGTTGAGCATTTGACTTCAGCTCAGGTCATGATCTCACAGTTCATGGGTTCAGGCCCCACATCAGGCCCTGTGCTGACAGCTTGGAGCCTGGAGCCTGCTTCAGATTCTGTGTCTCCCTCTCTCTCTGCCCCTCCCCTGCTCATGCTCTTTCTCTCTCTCTCAAAAATAAATAAACATTAAAAAAATTTTAAGTAAAATAAAATATAGTTTGTCTGGGGTGCCTGGGTGGCTTTGTTAAGTGTCTGACTTCAGCTCAGGTCATGATCTTACAGTTCATGGATTCAAGCCCCAAATTGGGCTCTATGATGACAGCTCAGAGCCTACAGCCTTTGGATTCTGTGTCTCCCTCTCTCTCTGCCCGTCCCCCACTTGTACTCTTTCTCTCTCTTTCAAAAAAATAATCAACATTAAAAAATTTTTAAAAATATGTCTGATATAAGTATGGCTACTCCAGATTTCTTTTGATGCCCATTAGTAGGATAGATGATGGTTCTCCATCCCCTCACTTTCAATCTGCAGGTTTCTTTAGGTCTAAAATGAGTCTCTTATAGGCAGCATATAGATGGATCTTATTTTTTTATCCTTTCTGATACCCTATATTTTGATTGGAGCATTTAGTCCATTTGCATTCAGATTGATTATTGAAAGATACGAATTTAGTGTCATTGCGTTACCTGTAGAGTTGGTGTTTCTGGTGATGTTCTCTGATACTTTGTAATGTTTGTTGCTTTGCTCTTCTTTTTTTTTTTCCCCTCCACTTAGAGTCCCCCTTAAAACTTCTTGCAGGGTTTGTTTAGTTGTCGTGAACTCCTGGAGTTTTTGTTTGGGAACCTCTTTATCTTTCATTCTATTCTGAATGACAGCTTTGTTGAATAAAGGATTCTAGGATGCATATTTTTCCTAGTCAGCACATTGAATGTTTCCTGCACTTCCTTTCTGTCCTGCCAAATTTCTGTGGACAGGTTTGCTGCTAACCTTATGTGTTTACCCTTGTAGGTTAAAGATGTGTTCTCCCTAGCTTCTCTAATAATTCTTTGTCTTTGTATTTTGCAAGTTTCATTATGATATGTCATCGTTTTGACCTGTTTTTATTGATTTTGAAGAGAATTCCCTGTGCCTCTGGACTAGGATGCCTGTTTCCTTCCCCCACATTAGGGAAGTTCTCAGCTAAACATTGTTCAAATAAACCTTCTGCCCCTTTTTCCCCGCTCTTCTTCTTCTGGGATTCCTATGATACAGATATTGTTTCATTTCATGAAATAACTTAGTTCTCTAAGTCTCCCCTCATACTTTAGTAATTTCCTTTCCCTCTTTTTTTCAGCTTCATTATTTTCCATAATTTTATCTTCTATTTCACCTATTCTCCCTTCTGCTTCTTCAATCCTTGCTGTCATTGTATGCAACTTATTTTGCATCTCAGTTATAGCATTTTTTATTTCATCATGACTAGTTCTTAGGTCTTTGATCTCTACCATAAGGTTTCTCTGGTGTCTTCTATGCTTTTTTTCAAGCCCAGATATTAGTCTTATGACTGTTGCTCAAAATTCTTGTTTAGATATATTGGTTATATCTGTTTTGAGCAAGTCCCTGGCTGAGACTTTTTCTTGGCTTTTCTCTTGGGTAGAATTTCTCCATCATGTCATTTTGTCTAAGTTTCTGCCTTTTGCATGTTTTAAAAGCTTATTATGTTTCATGCACCTAAGAATACTATTATATTAAAAAGGATTCATACACTTCCCAGGGCCTGGCACATCAGAAAGTGTTTCTGGTATATTCTGTGTGCACTCTACTTTTGCATTTTGGCTGCTCTTTCCCACTGGTCAGTCCTTTGGAGAGCTCCTCCCTGCTTCCAGTGGTGGAATGTTTGGACCTTTAAGTAGGTGTCCTCTGATTTGTTTGTTGAAAAAATCCTGGGGAAAAAGGGAGGGGGAACCTGATCCCATAAAAAGAGAAAAGGAAAGGGAAACAAAAACAAACAAACAAAAACAGAATAAAAAAAAAAAACTGTAAGGCTGATTCCAAACAAGCAAACAATAAGAATGGGGGAAAAAAGCAGAAGAAAAGGGAAAAGAAGGAAAAAGAAAAGAATAAAAAAGCCTGATCCAAAAAAAAAATAGATGAAATGACAAAAAACAAATAAACTATGAGCCCAATTCCAAAAGAAAAAAAGAGCTCTCTGTGGTTGCATGGAGGGTGCTGGCTGTGCTTGTCTGGAGGAGAGTCAGAGTCAGTATTGCCACAGTAAATAAGCAGTTGCCAGGCACCAAGGGGCACGGTTTCATGTAAGCCAGTTCCGCCTCCAATGGGGGCTGCTGCGTTGCTCCCTGAAGTCCCACCATGTTGGTGTTTGGGGGTAAATGGCGCCACCCCAATCTCGAATGCCTGGACCAGGAATCACAACCCCCACTATTCAGGTAGCTCTCACAGAATAGCGAGGGCAGTAGCTCACCCTGAGCCACAGCTCTCCTGCATTTTTTCTTTGGCACATGGCTAGGTTCCACAACCCAAAGTCTTAAAGGACCTAGCGTGGTGTGGATCCCTTCCTCCAAAGTAGAGCCTCTCCACCCTGCTGATAAAAGGCCTTTGGCTGGCACCTAGAAGGTCGTTTGTCCTCAGAGAGGCAATCACCTCTCTTCCAAAAGTACTCCAGGAAGGGGATCGTTCTCTCCCAGTGCACCCCAGAGATCTCTACACCCCACTATGCACTCCAGGGCTAGCTCCCTCCTCCCAGGAACACACACCACAGCTCTGCTCTAGAAAAAGTCACACACTTCCAAAACCTCAGAGTTTGAGCTCCAAAAGCTGTTTCCAAAAATGAACTGGGACACTTAGTACTTCTCGCTACCTAGTCCATGTTCCAGAGAGGTTTTCCTCTTGTGCTAATACCAATGCCACACTATCTCAATGCCTCTCTCTTTCTCTCCACAGAAAGGGTTCCCTCCCTTCCACAGCGCCATCATTTTTCTTTTCCCCAGTTCACATCCACACACCTCTCCCTTGCCAAGCTGTCGCCCTCCAACAGTGGAGATCCTCCTGCCACTCTGCAGATCGATTTTCTGGGTGTTCCAAGTAATCTGACCTCAATACAGCTGTGTCTGAGAGACGAGGAAAGCCCAGTGTCCCCCTACTTCTCTGCCATCTTAACTCCTCCTTCACAAAAACACTATTTCTTAAGTTAACTGAGGCAAACAATTAAAAGAAGTCAAAATGGTCTCTAAGACCTTTTCCCCCTTCCCCTGTCTTCTTTTTCTGCAGACACTTGGCAGACACCTTGTGCTCAGACTCCACCTCTATCCTCTCTGCCAAACTTAACTTTTGCTCTAAACCTCTCCCCACACCCTCCTTTCTTGAACATATTAAAACCTGACTCTTTAAAGTTAAGTCTTCTGAGGATCTAAATAAACCCCAAATTTCTTATGTTCCTTGGACTATGGCTGAACTGCAAGGCATAAAGAGCCTCCTAAACTAATTGAGGGCCTCCATAGGTTTGCTGAAGTGCTTCAAACTTACCAACCCAGTTTCTCAGATTTATATCAATTACCCCACATGCTTTTTAGTAAGGTCAAGGCTAAACTCTGGATGAAACTAGTCAAATAACATCCTGGGAAGAATTTAGAGAAACGGCCCCTAATTTTTGGCAAGATGCTATAACACTTGCTGAAAATCTCCAGTGAGAAATTACAGTAGCTTTTCCCAAGCCTGTTGACTAGAACAAACTTCAGTCTTGTCCTCAAAAGCCTGATGAACCTGTCCATGACCATTACAACTGAGTATTAATTGTTTTTAAAGGAAATTCTTGTTTTCATTTAGACACTGAATCCACCAAGATAGGACTCAACTCTCTTTATTAATGGACTGAACTGGGAACTTTCTCCTTTAGATAAAAGGACCAAGAAAGAATGGGAAACTATGTTCACTCCAGATCTAGTGGATTTGGCAAACCAGCTCACTTGCATCCTGTATTACTCACCTGAAAGAAAGACCGCAACAGTTCTCAGTTTTCAGCCCCAGCAAATGAAGGGCCCTAAAGAGAACTTAAAACCTCCTAGTTTCTGTTGTTATTGCAAAGCACCAGAACATTGAGCAAAAGGTTGTTACAAACATAAGCATTCCATACACCTTCTGGCCTCTACTCAGTCTTTCCGGTGTCCTCTTAGTTCCTAATGATGGGTTTCCAAGGAGCTAGAGGGGTGCTTCCAAAATCTCCCTCTTAAATGGCTAATAAATTGAATGAATTTGTCTCCAGGTAGAGAATGAATTTGTCTCTGTCCTTATTGACACTTAAGCTATGCTCTTGGGGGCTCAACCCCATTCCTATAAAGCAGCCCCAGTCTCAGAGTGCTAAAACAGTTCAGATAGTAAGGTTCTGTAATAAACCTCAACAGGTTCCTGTCTCTGAACCTATTCCCTTTTATCTAGGCCCTTTGAGATACACCCACACATTTCTCCTTAGTTCCTCTACCCCTATTCATTTATTGGGCTGAGATTTCTTAGAAAAGTTATCCTGCCAGAATATCTTTTCAAAAGGGGGAAATAATCCTGGAATTTGACAGTAGTAATCAAAATAGCCAACCAGGAGAGTTAAGTGACATTTTAACATCTTTTGTTTGCTCCACCTCTGATGGCACTAGAGCTGGGGACAATGATCATGTGTTCCTATTGGATCAGCTACCATCCCCTCTATGGGAAAAATCTGCAACTGATACTGGAAGAGTCAACACTACATTTCCCATAAAGATTCATATACATCCCTCAAAACCTCTCCCCAGAATTAATCAATACCCTATAAATAAAGAAGCCTTTCAAGGCATTAAGCCCATAATAGAAGATTATGAGAATTAAGGCCTGACTATTCCCTGCACTGGTCTCTGCAGTGCCCCTATTTTCCTGTGAGAAAAGCCAATGACTTGGGATGGAAGTTTTTCCAGGATCTTCAAGCAATATGTGGCACTATTATCCCTTGGTACCCTGTTGATCCTAACCTCTGTGTGCCACTAACATCCATTCCCACTGAAAGCAAACTTTTCACTGTAATTAGTCTATGCAGCACATTTTTAGCATTCCAGTTGAGAAGGATAGCCACTGTCTTTTTGCTTTCACATGGGAAGAATGGAAATACACCAGGACAGTAATGCCCCAGGGTTTCACAGAGTCCTTCTTACTTTTTACAAACCTTAGAAGCTGATTTGGATGATAGAACATTTTCTTCAGGCTATACTTTGTTAAAAATACTTAGTGTGTTTCAGTACTCCCCTTCTCACACCTCTTCACAGGAAGATAGCATCCACCTGTTAAAATCTTTGGCCTTAAAAAGACATAAAAGCTCTAGAGAAAATTGCACTTTGCTCAAATTCAGGTTCAATACTTAGGGCATTTGACTTCAGAGCAAGGAATGCATTTGGATCTAAACAAAACCCTTCACAACTGCTTGATGCTGACATATTACTTTTTGACTCCCCATGACAATGTATACGAATCTCCTCTACCAATTGCTGATTCTTCATGGCTTACTGATGGTTTTTATTTAAAGTATGAAAATGATAAAAATTGTGATTGGTATCCTATTGCAACTTCTTTTTGAAGTCTTTCAGGTAGTACCTTTACCTTTGGTTATTTTGGCCCAACAGGCTGAGTTATATGCCTTTGTTTGAGCTTGTTACCTTAGTCATGGGTAAAAGCACAAACATTTATACGAATAGTTAGTATGTCTTTGGGGTAGCTCATGACTTTGGAATATTATGGAAACAATGAGGTATTCTTACCTCCAATTGGGGATAAAATTTAAAATGGCCCCTCCGCCCAATATTTATTAGATACCATACATTTGCTGGCTGCTCTGGGTATTATTAAGGTTCCTGGGAATTCCAGGCTCAATCCCTAGAAGCAAAAGTAAACCACCTCACTGATACCTCCACCAAAAACTCTGCTGTCAAGGAAACCAATAGCCAAACCTCTGTCATATCCAAAGGAATATTCTCCCAAATGATAATTTGAAAAAATTGACAAGAGATACCCAACAGTTGGCCCCAGAAAGGAAAAAGCAATATTGGAAATCTAATAACTGTTGGCTTGATAAAAACTCTAGTTTGTATGAAATAACAGTCCAGCCCTACCAGAAATTCTAAAATTCTCACTACTTACCATTGTACATACATTAAACCATTAGTCTACTGAAAAAATGATAGCGTTCATGATCCAGTATTTGTGTGGAGATATTAATAAGATCATAAAAAGCATTAATAAGACCTCTCTTGTCCCACCTGTTCAAAGTATAATCCAGTTAAACCTGTTTGCACAAATAGATTTCATACAGCTTTCCCCATCTTGTGGATGTAAAGATGTTTTAGTCATGGTTTGTATGTTTTTTCACTGGACTGAAGTTTTCCCTTATAGACAGGGCAGTGCTTCTTTTGTAGCTCAAATTCTGCAAGAAAATGTTGTCCCTACCTGGGGAACCAACCTCAAAGTCCATAATGATTGGGGAACCCATTTTACTGATTGGGTGCCTTGACAAATTTGTGCTGTCGGGAGAGTTTTCACAAGACTTTTATTGTACATGCCATCCTTAATCCTTGGGGTTAGTCAGACACATAAACATCACTATTAAGACTCATTTGGCAAAATGTGTAGAGACTTTCAACCATCTTGCCAAAAGCACTGCTATTAGTCCTTCTAAATCTCAGATCCATCCCTGTTGATACTCATGGACTTATCCCTTGAGCTAGTCACAGGATGTTGAATGCACTTGGCCCCTGCCTCCTTTGACCCACAATGGATAAAAGGATATATACTTCAATATTTTAAAGCCCTAATGGCTTCTATTTAAAAATAATCATGCTTTGGTAGAACAGTCTTTTCATAGTGTACTCCCAGATGTTGACCTTAGGCATCATACCTTGCAACCTGGATATTTTGTCTATTGGAAAGGACACCTCCAGAAAGACTCTTTATCTTTGCTGGAAAGGTTCTTATCAGGAACTGCTAACCAACCCTTGTGCTGCCAAACTCCAGGAATAGATTCTTGGATTCATATGACACATCTAAAGAAAGCACCAAACCTGATTGGACCTGTACTCATTCCAGTGATGAGAAAGTAAGGATTTTCTAGAGTTGAAGCAGATGACATATGACAAGACAGCTTTCCCAAGATGTCTGGACCAGCCTTTATTCTCACTGTTGTTTCTTCTATCTCTTTTCTGGGGTGGCAGCGGGGGGGGACCCTTATATTCCTTTCCCTAACGCTTGCAAAAGGGAGAAAACTCTTCCATGATTATAGTCTTTTAGAAACAGCCTTATCATGATCCTATAACAAATAACTCTTCCACCTGCTTTTTCTGAAGGGTTAGAAGGTTCAGAATTCACAAAAGTCTTTTCTTTATCTGAACTATGAACTGACCCTGGACTCTTATCCAAATTCATGATTTCTGAATTTACAATTTTACAGACTGTATTACTGACAATACATTTGATTGTAAACAGTTCTTTTGAGAGAAATATTGTTTTTAAACATTTTTGAAGTTTTGCTATTCTTGCAAAAAGTTCATTCATTATTGCTTTATGTTTATACCTGCACTGTATCTTCCCAAATGCACTCAGTTTTTTTCAGTATATTCTGCAGTGTTCACTATTCCATTTTCATGGCTGCTGTAAACAGAAACTTCCAGGAAGGATACATGACTTTGGGTTAGCCTTCATAGGAAAAACTTTCCTCCCCTAAGTCAGAATAAGTGCCAATAAATGTTTCAGTTGGTGGCTTGCAGACCTAGAGTGGAGTCCTGGCTTAGAACCATAATGCAATTTGGAATTGTCACATTGCTTTTTATTCTTTACTTGTCTGTCAGACTCTGTATAGATGACATATCCCATAAGGTGATGCTGACTCAACACTTAAAAAAATTTTTTAATGTTTATGTATTTTTGAGAGTGAGAGAGAGAGAGCACAATAAGGGGAGGGGCAGACAGAGAGAGAGGAAGACACAGAATCTGAAGCAGGCTCCAGGCTCCAAGCAGTCAGCACAGAGCCCAACGCAGGGCTCAAACTCACCAACTGCAAAATCATGACCTGAGCTGATGTCAGAC